AAAAGCTCACCATAGCTGAACTGTACGTAGGCAGTGATTCTTGGAAGAGTCTACTAGAGGCGCTCATAATACCACACTTTGACGATCACAACAGGGTTGTATTTTGTTAATCACAACCACACGTGATCAATAGCCCAAAATGAACATGATTAAAAGCAGGGCTATAAAATGATGAAAGGCATGCCTGTCTCCTAAATTCCTTAAATTCGGCTTTAAGACCTGGACACCTAAAGTCCTTGGTGGTCTTGTGATTCCCTTTTGTAAAGACATACGCATTTGATTGTACTTAGGTCTTGATCCTGGGTGGAATGTGTGGTGCAGGGGGATGAAAGGCAAAATTAATCCACGACTACTCTTGATACGCAGGCAGCAAGCATGAAATAATAGGTCATTGCAATTTCAGCCTATATACTCTTCCATCTATATACCTGTGTTTAGGTATACAGTATGATTGTATTAACGGGAAAAAAATGTATGAATTGGAACAAACTGTGAAATAATCCCTCAATTTCAAAATCCAGGCTATCATGAATCGGCCCCTGATTGGCTCAATTGCAGACCTCCACTGCGCTACTGGGATTAGTCCTTTGTTGCCATAGTTACCATGACGACAGACCACTCGACAGGTGAAGTCCATGCTCTCACAAAAAGCAGCCAATTCCTGATAGTTTTGAAAATATCACAAATACAGGCCTCATATTAAGATGCTGTAATTCAAGCTTACTTTTTGACTTCTTGTATGTAATCACTGTTTCGATCAAAGAGATGAGTCACAGAATCTCTGATAGCGGAGTGTTTCAAACTTGAGGCGATCCCAAAGACGATGACATTAGGTACAGTGAAGCACAGCTGAGCCACAGCTTGACCCTGAAGAGAAAAATGACATGTGCAACTGTTGATCAGCATCTTCTAGCGTTAATGCACGAGCAGAATGCACAATTCCATATGAAATCACTTTCATCCATTTTATACGGACTGGTTTATTTCTCAATAGCTTGTAATTGGTAGCATCCTTTAGAACCCTACAGTGACTGGTTTAATGAACATTTCATCCATACGCTTATCCTCACAAGGGTCGTACATGTCTGATATCAATTGGAGGAAATTTTATGACCTCTATGAACCAACAATTAAAGAGAATGACTTACCACAGCACCCCCAGCTGAGTGCACCAGCACCGACATCCCCTCTCTGAGTTTGGCAATCTCAAAGAGCATCATGTAGGCAGCGACGAAGTTCAGGGCAAATGCGCCGCCCTCCGCAAAAGTCATGTCATCTGGCATTTTGTAGACAAACTCCTCTGGTGTGCAAACAACCTCTGCCCAGGCATTGTAGTTGGCAAAAGCCATGACTCGGTCTCCTATCTGAGAGAAATACGTCGTATACAGAGATGGCAAAAGTACTAAATTGTGGATTTAAAGACCCTGAAAAGTAAATGCAGAGATTTGTTTCTAAATACATTGTGGATGTTTGAAGATAAGTGCTGAATACACATGCAAAGACTGAGAACTACGTAGTATTCAATTGTGAAAATGTGGCATTGGACTGTTTTCACCATTTCAGTTTTCCTGATGTTTTGTAGGTGTGGCTATTGTTATTGCTGGTGAGCAACCTCCAACTGGGTCCCAAGCGGCTCCTAAAGCCGCAGCGACCCGAGTACCTGCAGACCCAGTTGTCGGCTGTTGACTGGGAACTGTTCGTTGCCCAAAGGCACGCCCAACATCACTTGGAGGTCATTCCCGAGTTGGGCTGTAAGTGTGGCTAAAAATGTGTCCAGTTAGGCATCAACATTTATCTGGTGCAATTGTGATCTGTTCATCAAAATTTACAGCCAGTGCACGAACACAAGCCTTGTACCATCATGGACACTTTAGTGTGCCTCGTTGTCACACCGTGGAAAAACGCCACAACCCGGTGTAGTCATTGGAGGCTTAAGCGGCAATATTTTCGTGACTCAACCATGTGGTTACTGTATGTCGAGACATAAGAAAGACATAAGACAATTCATGCCTCAGCATCTCAATTAATCAAGATCGCAACTCCAATTGACTTGACCTTTCTCAGTTTTTTACGTCATGTCATCATTAGTCATCGTCAGTAGAATGTCCAGATATTTTTCAAATGTAGGGATTTCAAGTAAAAAGTCATGGGTGAAACTCAAGTATATATTATACAAAATACAGGTACCTGAAAATTGTATTTATGCACAGTACAAGCACATGCATTTTGTTTCTGCAGACAGGCAACGCATGTATACTCGATTTAATGTGCACTAATGAATTGGATAAACTTTATACTCTGGCCATATTTGTGTATTCCTGGCAGGAGAATGCTTCAGTTTGACGTACCTCAAATCTTTCTGTGCTTTCTCCCACAGATTCCACAATCCCACAGCATTCGAAGCCAGGAACAAGAGGGGGTTTAGGAGGACTATCAATAGTCCCCTGACGTACCATCAAATCCAGGAAGTTTAAACCACTGAAAAAAATCCAATACATTGCATAACTGTGTGATAAATAATGTTTCATCGTGGAGTCAGGTTATTTTTCTTCAATCAATTAACTCTATGCAATGAACAGAATTTTTAATGCTCAAATAATTGACTCATCAGTTATTATGGGAGGTAGTCCAATGCCCGAGTGGTTAGCACATCTTCTGTCTCCCAATTCTGAGTTTCTGAGTTAAAATCTTATCTTATTGTGGCTCCCCAAGAAATAAATATAATTTGTTTTAATTGATGCAGGTATTCATTAGGGATGCACCGATATCACTTTTTCCAGAACGAGTGCGAGGACAAGGATTCAAATCCGAGTACAGTACTTGTCATTCGAGTACTGCTTCTTAATAATGCATTATGTTTTGCAATTCTGATGTTTAAAAAAAGTGTTATATTTTAATAAAATATTGTTCAAAAACATACTTTTCTTAAAATTGGGACAAGTAGCACTCAAAAATAACATTTTTCGAGCAACAACTTGTCATAACTGACATTTTATCATCCAATTGCATGCTTTTCTAACAGTCTTGCAGCTTGGCATATTAAATGTAGCCTGTAACATGAGGTATGTCAGTTATGTGATGTCTCATCCTGAACACTAGGTGGCACTGTGTAAAAGGAGTACATGCAATATATAAGTGACAAAGAAGAATGAAGACTCCGCGAATATTCAGAATATAGCTGTGATGTTACCTCTGTGTGTTAAGTACAAAATAAAGTGAGTAAAATGAAATACAAAACTGCGTCTTGTGAATACTACAAGTTATAAATGAAACTGTGACAGGACATGTGAAGTGATACTTTATCACACCATTCTGAGGACTTAATCAATGCAGATTTTCTTTGCCTTAAGTTTCAGTAATTGGTATCGGCAGCCTCCAATAGTACCCGATACCTAAAATAGACGGAAAACTGGTGTCGGTACTCGCCCATGCCGACTCGGTATGATGCAATTCTACACCCCTGCATCTACACAACCAATAACAAACTTATTGCTACATGAATACCATCAAGTGAACATTATTATCGTTGTAAGGAAATGGTGATACTCTGTTGAGCCTCATTAAATCGTGCAAGTATACAATGTTGTGATATGTTCATGTCGTTATTAGTGGTCGCATATGTTTCCCATGATGATCATGTTTATGCACTTGTTATGGGCAATGAGTCATGGGCTCTGAATGCAAGGCCACATTCATCACTCATGCTCTCTCTGAATACAAAAGATTACAATTGTATTTTTCCAGACTTTGTCACCAGTTAGTCTACAAAAGCCAACTGCAACAATTCCGATAAAAAATATGGTTGAACGGGATTTAAATGGGTTTCAAAACGTCAGTTTGCTGTCTATTGATGGCCAACATGGGGGGGGGGGGGAGACCTGTGGCTTCCACTGCGATAGTAATACTGTACTCCATTGATATGATGTGTAGACCAGTGATTAAAAAAAACAATAATAATAATAATAATATAGCAGTGGTAATGTGGTCATATTTACCATGCCTTTACGCGGATCTTCACTTCACCACGTTGAGGCTCGGGCATCATCTTCTTGGTCACTCGGAGTTTGTTGAGCCCTCCAAAGCTTGACAACATCACCGCCCGCATCTCTTTCACATTCCCGGAAGATTCCCCGCTTCCCGGTTTCTTCCCCGTGCCTCTCTCTATCATGCACTCGGTTTCCTCAGTCATATCTGCTCCCTCTTGAGCCATGTCGGAGCCCGGCTGTGTGCGTCTCTCCGCGCCTCTTCACGGCTCACTGACGTGCTTTGCAGCCTGCAATCTTGGCGTTGTGCACGGCAGCCCGGCCTCACTCAACCCGTCGTGCGATCCTCCCATCCACTCACTCATGCTAGTCCAAACCCGGATGATCACGATGTTGTTGTTATCATCATCATCTCAGCTCGTGGTTGAGCTCCATTAATTAGTCATTTCAATGAACTGGGCGTAATTAGCGATGCGTGTGTTCGCTTGAGTGTCCAGTGCGCCATCTGCTGGAAAAGACGCCATCTGCAGTTTCTTGGGACTCATAAATCACCCTTGCGGCTAGTCATTCAACAATTGTGACGCCCTCAGGGAAACTTGGAAAGCAAATACGCTGCCCACATCCTCAACAGTGCATTGATTGTATGCGGACCGTCATGGACATAATTCAAGATGACCTCTTGTAACCAAAATTATCTTATACACACACGATACTGAAATCCTTCCTTTCACACATCAGACTGAAATCTGTTTGTCTGATGTCATGAAATATGCATTACAATAAAACTCACTTTATAAAGAGTCAAAAGAAAACCATTCTCTTAAGGATAATTATTAATTAAAATATATTTTAAATCATTTTGATGAGCCAAATGTCATTTTATATACTTCCACGGTTATGGTATAGATATAGAATGTTATGTGTAATAAATAATGAGAACCGTGTTACTTGTGTTCAACTGCTTTAAATTGTAAAGTACACAGTAATAAGCAAACATTGAACTCATCAGTCAGACCCTATAAATCATACTAGAACTTTAATGTATACATTTGACGACTCACATCCACAGGCAAAATGGCAATACGATATTACATTACTTTCATAAATATCTTCACCAATCATGGGAAAGACTATCGAGCAAAATCTGACATTTTGTGCGTATGCAGCCCTCTTCCTTTTTTTTTTTTAAAGTAGGGACTGTGATATTTTTCATAAGAATGTGCCTACTTAAGATATTTGTATGCAATTCACATTTATACATAATTAGCTCAACAATATCTACTATGACAGTGACTAGGTTTACAGGCTGTCAATATTCAGGTGAAGGTCAACATTCTGGTTTTTGAAACATAACCCGTTCACATGTATGAGCAGAAAGTTATTGTGTACATGGTTACTGTGATCAATTGAGACAGCTTCATCTAAACTGCGACACACGGATAACGTAACGATGTAAATGGACGTCATTTCTGTTTCTTACTTTCTACCATCAATAAAGGACATTACTGTATATTCATTTCGTTCACTATGCTAATAAAGCAGCTGACTTGGCACTGTGCCACATTTCACCATGTTTGTTTACATCTGTTTGTGTATTTCCATGGGGTTGTGTGCCACACACAATGCATACATATTCATGGTTTTGTGGATATTCAGGTTTTTGCAGGCGTTGACATCCCTTTGCATCGCGGAAATATTGCAAACAATCCGGTTTCGAGAAGGTCATTGACTACTTGTAAACATAGTCACTTTTAATTTGTAGGCTAAATTATGAACATTGATTGAAGTGTTTTTGCTTGTAGGGAATTACTGTTTTGGAATATCTGTGAATATTCTTAGTCCATGCATTTCTTGAATCTCATCCTTCAGGGCCTGTGGAAGACAAACCCCAGAAATAGGGGTATTTTAGGTAAGCAACATCTTTCACAACAACATGTAGAAGTCATCTTTATGACACACACACACACACACACACACACACACACACACACACACACACACACAACATAACAGTCAGTACAGTGGTTGAATCTAGATGGTTCTTGAATTGACTGGTGTACCCAATAACTTGTCTGATAAATATATAATAATAGACAACAAGCTGAACTAACAGTTACAATTGTTACCTGATTGACGAGCTGGTGTTGCTGAACAGTTCTCTTCCCGCTGAACTCACTCGACTCTATGTGAACTTCATACATGGCCCCACAGCCGCCTGGACACAAGATCACATTAAAATATGTGCTATTTGGTGAGGGTGTGTGACATGGCTCCTGCTCCTACTCCAACTGTCTGGAAGGTTTGTCAGGCTGTAAAGTGCTATCGGTGTTATACTATTGGAGATGTTTTATTGGCTATGAGCCAGTAAATACAGTATAGTAAAGTAAGAAGTCACCAAAAAACAAATAATCGTGTCAAATACAGATACCTGAAAAGTCTGCTTTGGTACAGTAACGGTACTTTGTACGGTACACCATTGGCATGCATAAAAACAAATAAACAAAAAAATGTAAAGCAGTATCACATTAAATTAAGTGGCTTTAACTTGTGCTTAATTTTCCTATTGTATTCCTCCATCATTGTATTTATTACTATAACTATTTCTGGCGCATTTAAATTGTATATCATTTTAATTTAAATGTCACGTTTAATTAAAAATACACGTCATTAGATTATTATGAAGGATTTCAATGTACATACCAGATATATCTACAACTTTTAGCGATGACGCGAGTGGGAACTTTTCCTTGAGTACATTCGCGATGCGGATCTCCCCCTCAGTCTGCGTGGAAAGACACCTCAACGCTTGCCCATGGATTGCAGTCTGTGGACGCAGAGGTGAAAGTTAGCAAACACCAAGCATTGCTATCCTGGATGCAGCGTCTAACCTTCTTAAGTTTGACATCTTAATTACCTGATTTCTGAAAAGAATCCGAAGTGCAGCTATGGCAGCGCTTGTTCCCTTACAAACAAACATCGTCTTAATTTGATGTGTATTTATTGACGAGCCAAATAGGAATTATTTATGAATACATCTAACTTGTCCGATCACAAGCGTCTCCTTAATATGACGTCACACATCCGGGTATGTTTTAGTGTATTCGTTGATTCGGAAGCGTGTGACCGCGCGCGCGTGTCAATGTGTTGTGAAATTAGACTTAAGTTACGCGAAACCAGTGCGAATAAAAGCTACTCTGTTTGCTGTTGCACTTGCAAGTATGATTTAAAAAATATATATATTCGTTCACTGGGCACCATTTTGTGGTTAATACATTCTTTATGAAGACTGCAATGGTTAGCTTGTCTATCCACTAACTCGCAAAAATAATTATAATAATAAAAATAAAAAATTAAAAAATGATGTCCTTGTACACATTGAAAACATAATCAACCAGAACGGTAAGAAACACGTTTACTTCCTATTAATTGTATTTAGGATGATTTTTGGCTCCCACAGCTTTTATAAAAGAATATGAAAATAAATACAGAACAGTCAATATGTCTGTTCCATCCGCAGATCTATTTTTTATGGTAAGTCAGCTTGCTTAATTTTCAAAATGCACTGCTGTTGTTATTAAAGCTATTTAGTTGTTGCATTAGATCTGAAATAATTAATTGAAAAAGAAGTCTTGATCTAGACACTTTCATCATAAGGCTGGGCAGGTAAACTTTACAGTTTACAGTAAACACTGTCGGTCTCCACAACAAAAGATCCACAAGACAGATAAGTGCCGACTGCTTTTGAAGGTAAAATCAATATTTTGTAGCTGGTCAGAATGACAAGCTTATCTCTCCCTGCAGGTTGTGGAGCCATTAATGGGTGTTGACTGTTGGCTTTTTGTCTCCTTTCAAAACAGTCCTCCGTTTTGTTTGTGCTCAGGAGTTATATGCACAGCACAAAGCCAAGCACCCATTGAGTAAATTATACTTATGTCAGAAATGACTCTAAAGAGCAGGCCTTTGTCAGAGATACTGACGTCATTGTCCTTTAAAGTCATGTTGTTACCACATTGAGTGCAAGTGATGTGCAGGTGCACAAAGATGGACCATACTGCTTTTGCGGTCCAGACTTTATTTTTTCTCTTTCTCAGCTTGACTTGCTTTGTGGCCGGAGAACCAGATGCTGTCTCTTGTCCCGAATACCAAGAGAGCTTTGATGGCTCCTGCTATGAGTTTGTGGGTCTGCAGCGTCCTTTCCTTGGTGCCCAGAAATGGTGCGAGAGAGGAGGAGGACATGTAGCCTTCATCTTGAACAACGAGACGCAGAAGTTCCTTCAGACGCACCTCGATCCAAAGAAGGACTGGTGGCTCGGACTGGCGCCTGCTGCGCCAAACCTAACTCTGGACACTGCTGCCACACAGGGTGAGAGGTCATGTCACATAAACCTAATCAGTTGTTTCATATAAATGTAGCTTTGTGGACCACACTTCTCTTTTTGGAAAGTGTATATCGATTGGAGGGTTACTTTAACCTGTAAACATGCTCGTTAATGCTTTGGAAATATGATCCTTTATTTTTCCCACAGTGGGTAAACACACAATAGAGCTACCGTGGTTTAAATATTGTGAATATCTAGTTCATCTTTAAATGCCTTGGGTCATGATGAGGACTGAACAGGAAAATATTTCATGCTGTAGCATATCATTACAGTGGTGCTTGCGCCTTGCGATACGAGTGACCCAACTTCTTAGCTTTTTGAGATATGAATTGCCTTTTGGCAGATTTTTTTTGCAATGAAAATAATTGGCTATTATTTAGAGGAATTGACATGAGCCATTATTCCTTTAAGCAGGTTACCATCGTCACTGAGGCATAATTTAATTTATCTGTTGACACACACCCAGAACATACAGTACAACCCCGAAGGAGCCTGCAATAGTTTCTCATTTACATTGCCTTATTGCTGTCAAGTTCTGTGATTTACAACTTCCTGTTTATATCTGTAGACAGAACATGAGTCATGATCAAAAATGTGTTCTACAGTATATCCTCTGCTGTGTTGTTGTTTCAAGCCACAAAATTTTCCTTTCAGATGAGCAAACATGAGGTGTTTTTAAATCAAGTGGAATAATGAATGTGATTTTGTCCCTCCCTTCTCTGTCATCAATACTAGTTTCTCTGGCATGGCTGAATGGCTCAGATGTCAGCTACAATAACTGGGCAAGCAAGCCTGATGCGCAAGCCACCTGTGGACATATCCTGAAAAAGTCAGGCTTCCGTTGGGCAGCGTCGGAGAATTGTACTCAGGAACTTAGCTTCATCTGCCAGTTTGGTAAAAAAACTCATCCACAATTAATGGTGTTTTTGATAATGTTTCACTCATCTCTCTCTCTCTCTCTCTCTCTCTCTCTCTCTCTCTCTCTCTCTCTCTCTCTCTCTCTCTCTCTCTCTCTCTATATATATATATGTGTATATATAAATTTTGGGGTCTTCAGAATCTAGGAGATCTTTTGCATGTGATGGCCAAAACGTCACATTGCAGTGTGGCTCTGGTCAAGTCATAGAGATAGACCATAGTTTCTATGGTCGAAAAACAATTCACTACTGCCGGACCAAACTCGCCACCACACCTCCACCTCTTCAGGAGCAGTGCACTTGGACAGATGTAGCAGACTCTGTAAAAGGTATTTGTATTGTAAAATATAAATAAATGCTCATTCTCTGCATAATGTTACTATGGTTTCAACTTTTTTTTGTGACGTACTGTTCAGTTTTGTCTAACTTTTTAGTGCTATATATTTGCATGTTGAACTCTTTGTTGTCAAACATTTATTTACCGGTACATACAATTTTGATTAAACTTTAATGTGCCATGCATTTTACTTCAATCATTATTTAAGTACAGCTTTTTTTGTTTCCTATATTAAAGCGCATTGTTATTGTTGAAACTGCATCATGTTACAGATGCTTTCAATAAAATTAAACGGCTACATTTTTTTCGGACTAAAACCTCTGTCTTGTTTTTGATGAACACTTGGGTCTGTCCCGTGTTTTGATTTGTATTTTTGTGTCTTTTCCGTCACGCCACCACAAATGGAACAATGTTATAACCGTAAAACCGCAGCTGGAACGACATAAGAAAGGGTTATGGTGCTTAGTAAAACATCAGGAATATAATTAATGAAATAGTTTGCGGTTGGTACAAATTCCCTCCATTCGCTGTTCTCATCTGGGTTAAAACTATTACCTAAGGGGAAATCAGTTTTGAAGTCATTCAGTGTCACGGAATAGATTCTATTTAAATCGTTCTTTTGTGTCGTTCCAGGAAGTTGCCATGGACTGCAGGCCTGCCAAGCACCAGCAGACGCCAAATCTTACGGTGAACCCTGTCCTCTGTTAGGAAGTTACTTGTCTGTGGAATACCGCTGCAAAGATGGTCAGATATACTCCTTCAACTTCTCCAGTCCAATAGAAGTTACATAACAATGATGAAATCCTCACGCGTCTAGAGTCTATCGCATAATTTTGGAAATGATGACTGAAATGTAGATTCAATAATCTGATATCTTCACAGGTCTCCACTTGCTGATGAGTAAATTGGCGGCAGTGTTTGATAATGTCACTCTCAATATCAAGTGGCTTCTTCAACCTTATGAGGGTAACCTTACATGCGCGCTGAATGCTGGCGATGGCTACACTATTGATTCCATCACCCCAGAAGAGTGAGCTCTTATTTGCTTTATAATATGTGAGATATACACCGACCAGTCACAGCTCTATGGCCACTTACACTCTTATATTCATATCCAATGTCAATGCTGAACACCAGATACTGCTGGTGTCAGGCGCAATCCTGGCTTCTCTCACAGTCAATCCAAATGGAGCATTATGACCTACGTGGAGGCAGTTCTCACATCGTTCAAGTGGTCATAACGTTGTGACTGCTCAGTTCCGCAATCTCCCTGCACAGTTGCCTTATTAAACTTGCGTTACTCTTTCTGAAAGAATGGAAACCACAGTGATGCACACGTTCAAAACGCCTGGACTTTTCGTGGTCACAGTAGAGTGTTCCACCAGCGACTGGCATGTGACAGCTCAAAAATCCATAAGCATTCAGGAGCCGGTGGGTCAATTTGGAGATATCAAGTGCTATAGCATCAACACGTCAGAAGGTGGCACTAACTGCAGCCTGCTCTACATCGGAGGGCCTGTTGATGTTCAGGTCACAGTGGAGACCGGTAAGGATTATTAAACTGCTGGTTAACCATATCCTAATGTTCAATAACACTGAATGAGCAAGTGCTCTCTGTTCAAAATAGGTACAAACGTTAGTTACGTACTCCAACATAAGGACCTTTTACTTGCAAACGCCTCTGCTGACCGAGGGATCACGCCCCACAACATTACACTGAATGCAAGTGCAGTGGAGCAGCTCGGGCATGGCTGTAACAACCTGACTTTGAACGCCTCCAACAACGTCACGAGCCAAATCGTGTCCACCCAATTTGAACTGTGTTTGCTGGAACCTGTCGAGGGCCTGCAAGCCTCAGTGATAGCAGAGGACGATCGGTGTCCCGACTCCAGTGACCTCATTATTGGTGTCTCGCTGGAACGTGGAGCCCCTGTGCAGCTTCTCTTTACACTGACTGTCAATAATGTCACTCACTTGGAGACCAGAAACATGCTCAATGGAAGCTTACAAATGTATACCTTCGGCAGCCCGGTTGAAGGTACCGTATTGCAACTTAATTGCATGATTCAGCATTGATTCACATTGTGCATGTTCAAAGCCTCAGAATAACTTTATTTTTCTTTCTTTCTTTTTTTATGTAGGATCATTTCAATTGAATGTGCAAGCTGCGAATGCTTTGTCAACCTCTGATTTTAATGTGAGCCTAGAGAGCATATTCCTGGCTTGCGAGAATCACTCTGACTCTGAAAACAAGGTATGTACGGCACAATTTCAGCATAGAAATGAATGAATGGTAGCATGAGTATTTTGTTAACCTATGTTGTCATACAAACTTGCCCCGCATTATCACCTTTTCTATTGAGTTCCTTAATTACAATAGCTGAATCATAAACTTTGTTTTCCCAAAGATAACAATGCTCAGTGTGATTGACATTGTCAGAAAATATTTTAGGTTGTGGTTTTAGTTCAAATGCCAGGTTTTTGTGATGGAAAATGTCATTGAAAAAAATAGTTACAAAATAATTTCCATCTGTGACCTACAACGTGTCAAACTGAAACATTTTTAGGCGGTAAGTGAAAGTAATTGAAAAAATATGATGTTCTTGTAGGCTTCCCTGCTGGATTATTTTTTTATTTGCTTTCTAGCAGAAGCCTGTATTTATTTATTTTTTTTCTTATATTGACTTTTTGAAACAGTTCATAAATCCCTCCACCAGCTGAAGAAAAACAACCCCAAAGCATTTTGCTGTCTTCACTTGTATTCTTTTGGACGATGAGCAGTGTTGTATTTGTGCCAAACATCCATTCAGGATTTAGGCCAACAAGTTGAACCTTGTTTTCATCAGACCGAAACACAGTTTCCCCACATGTGCTTGTGAGATTTTGTTCAGGTCCAATGAAAATGGTTCTTTTTTATTTATTTATTTATTCATTCATTCATTCATTCATTCATTCATTCATTTATTTATTTATAAATCAAAAACCTGGCCTTTGAACAGACATGTATAGACTTTTTATATCCACTGTATTGTGAAACCATCCAAAATTAGGAACAGCACATCTGCAACCATTGCAATCTGTGGGTAGTGAAGGCTCTGTTGTTGTTGTTACAAAACGTTTTTTTTTTTTTTCATTTTCAGATGACTGGCAAGTCTTATGACTTGAAAGTAATTTCCACTCCAGAGTCTGTAGTTGACTACACTCAGAATGTCACCCTGAGCATTAATGGAAGTGTGTCATTGCCCAGCATAGGACTCGAATTTAAGTGGAAATGTAGTAAGTGCCATTGTTCCCCTTTCTGGAAAAGTTTAGCAACATGAATGCTTCAAGCCACTGTGGTACAGGTGCAAAGTATGACCTTAAGCGTCGCATTCCGTTGTTTAAATTAGGTAATAAAATAAAATAAAATAAATATCTAAAGTAAATTGAATAATGTATTCATTTTTATTTATTTCATAAAATCATTTGGTTATTTCTGTTTTAAAATGAAAAACATATTTATAAAATGAACCATTTCGATACATTTATTTTAAAAAAATGGTTAGTTATTAAATAACTACAATTAATAATTCGCATCCATCCCTCCATGCAGTAGGCGAGCCGTTTATCCTCATAAGAGTCACATGTGTGCTAGAACCCATCCCAGCTGTCTTTGGGGTACACCCTGAACTGGTTGCCAGCCAGCCACGGATAATTAGCATGAATTATGATTTTATTTTTAGAATAAACTGTTTTACTTATTTTAAGGTGAGACTTTTGGGCCATCTGTCTGACTTGGATGTCAAATATGGCCTTTGAGCACAAAGTTTGCCCGCGCTATACACGTATGGTCATCAAGCTCGGCTTGAATTGTCAATAGCATTTTTTTTTTTTTTTTTTTGTGGTCTTTTGCTTTCTTAGAAATATGATACCGAAAAAGTTGTTGCTTGAACTTAAAGTTAATTCCTGACATTATCTCTATATCCGGCTTGAATTGTCAATAGCATTTTTTTTTTTTTTTTTGTGGTCTTTTGCTTACTTAGAAATATGATACCGAAAAAGTTGTTGCTCGAACTTAAAGTTAATTCCTGACATTATCTCTATATTGTGAATGACACTTGTCTTGCTTCTCTTTCTTCCCATGCAGGAGGGGACTGCAAATGCAAAAACCAAACAAATGACACAACTCACATGATTGACAAGCAGTGCCTTCCGAATCCATTTGAGATGGCCGTCTACACCGTGACTGTCAAGAAAACAGCCTGGTTTAGGAAATGGGTCAAACTAGCTTCTGCTTCCAAGTGTATCACTGTTGCTCAAGAGGAATTAAAAAATGTCTCCATTAGGTAAAACCAAACACTCAGTTATTCTTGGTTTAATTTGGATGTGGACCGTTTTAAGCATAATTGGGAAATATTACCCTTGAAATTAATATTTTACTCTTGGGTTACTCATCTTTCCAAATACAGTTGTGATAATTGCACTTCAATTGATGCGAACGACCCTGTAAAACTGAGGCTGAGCTGTGTAGCGAGTTGCCCAGATGTGGACTGGTACATGGAGGATCTAAAACCAATCAAGGCAAGTCGGAATCTGCCACTTTAGTCAGTGTTTAACATTACTCTGTTGAATGACCACTGTCAAAAGCATTTTTTCTACTTTTCCCAGCAGGATGACCTCGAAACCTGTTACTCACAAGAAGGAAGAAGGCCGCTGATGAAGAAGCAAGAAGGCAACTCAGAATTTCTTGTAAACAGCAAAGAGCTGAAATATTCGAGGGACAATTTGCTTAACATCACCGTGATTGTTCAAGGTGTGGTTTGAGACTCACCGTTTGACTGCGTTATTAGAAATAGGCTCACAGTGTGTGGTAGGAGTCACTTTCTTTCCCTTAATTAAAGCACAATATAAACTACACAGGACTAATTATTCTACTTCAAGGTGAATGGTTTTGTCGTTGAAAAATAAAATATCATTTCCAGAATAAACGATGAGGCATTAGGCCGAGCCTTAAAACCTGAAGAATAGCTTTGTGTGACTTTTTTTTGTGTAGGTTTGTGAAACTATGCTTCTTTACCAAACCAGGGAAATCGGAGCAAGGTTATGCCAGGTACACTCTACCCATACCGGATCCAGAACCAACTGTCACCCCCTCACACCCGACGTGCAGCATCTTTCCATTATCAGGCACTGTACTGGACTCATTCGATATCACCTGCCAAGCTAGTTCTTTCTGTTCTTCAGGCTGTCTTTATTGCTTCAAGACAGACACAGGTGAGAAAATGCAACTTAGTTGTGTGGTGTGTACAATTGTGGATTCAAATGAATAACAAACCAATCTGCTCATTTGTCTTAAAGGCAAACATCTACGTTGCAATAATAAAGAAATTGTGAAATCTATCTTACTGCCCGTTGGAGATGAAAAGAACAACTACAATTTGTCTATTGTGATAACTGTGAAAAATGAATATACAGAAGTGACCACGATGGTCCACACTCAGGTAAACACACATGACAAGAAATAGAAAGATAGAATGGCACACAGAATAAATGGACAAACCTATCTTGACTTATGTAAACCTTCATGGGGAAAAAAAAAGCTTTTCTATCTTTCTATATTTCTCAAAGGTTCGGAAAAATAACTCCAGTGGTTCCGTAGACACACTCCAGTCAGTTCTAGAAGATACTGTCTCCCAGTTGGAACAAGATGGTCTTCTCTCCGGTGAGGCCCTTAGCCAAATCGTTACCTCTGTAGCAGATATGCTCAATACCGAGGCCGATGAGGATCAGAAGGACGCAAGGACGAAGGTATGTTGGAAGGCGAGCATTGTGTCCTCAAACGGTTGAACCCCGTTGATATCTCCGCATCCTTCCTTGACTTCAGCTCAGAGAGCAGATGCTGACCAAAATGACAACGGTGCTGCTGGACTCCCGATCAAACACCAGTTATGAGGTTCAAGTGACAGCTAGAGCCGTAGCCGAACTTACGCAGCGATCAGATGAGCTCAGTCCAGCTGCCCAGGTGCTGCTCAATTTTAGATTGTTCAGCTTTGGCAAAGGAATGCATTCTCTGTACTATTAAAGTCTGATCAACTCCAATTTGTTTCTCTGTTTCCACTTAAGGAAGAAGCAAGCTCACTCTTGGTTGACCTGAGCTCTTCCCTCAACATTATCAGTGTTAATCAGGATGGGAGTGGTGATGATGGAGAAGTTGTGGATGGAGCTGCACCAATAGTTGAAGCTGCCAGTAATATTTTGAATGCTCCGTCCAACGTAAGAGTAAACTGCCATTGCTGCGTTTGGTTCTTATCATTTTCTAAAGTATCAACTAAATAACATGTTCTCCTCAGGAAAAAGTTTCCACTTCCCTTCTGACTGGGATGGGTAACGTACAGAATGCCTTGTTGAATCATAAAAAGTTGAATGGAGATCCTATCATCATTGACTCTAATCAGATCAGTGTGTATGTAAACAGGTAAGAGCTGATTGTCTTTAACACACACATACACACACACAGCTTGTAGCTGAAACTGCAAGTACGTTTGGGTTTCTGCAGAGTGTCTCCAGAAAGTATGCAAATGCAGGATATAAACATCCAGAGGAGCAGCGCTTCTAGATTTTCCTTTCCGACGCTCCCTTCTGATGTTTTCTCACCAGATGAACCTGTGGATGTCAGAGTAAGTGTATGCTTTTTGTCGAGCGCATCCCAACAATTAAAAAAAAAAAATCTGCATTACAATGCTAATAGTTTTTGCACTATAAAATTGCTGTTTGTAATATCTCACAGATGATGAGTTTTGAAAAGAACCCATACTCTTGGAAAGGTGGAAACATTTCAGGAACTGTGGGATCTGTCACTCTCACAAGACCAAACGGCACTGTCATCCCCATTAAGAATCTCCCTGAAGAGATTGAGGTAGCACAAATAAACAACATTCAAAATTCTATACATCTGTAAGAGAGTCCACACTAATTAATTTTTGCATTGCTGGGGTCTTCAGATTCTCCTGCCCAGGCTGGACGTTGGGCTGGAGAACAGCACAGTTCTGGACCTGGCCAATTTCAGCACATTAATAATTGACGTTCCCTCGCCTGATGTTACACTGGTGCTGAAAATGGAGCCCTCTGAAAACATTACTTTCGTCTTACTTCTGGGGCACAAGAATTATCCAACAATTGAGCATTATGTGGCCAAAACTCAAATGCCTCTCGAGAACGTCAAGGAAGGTATGTTCAAACCTATTTTATGACATTTTACATTTTTTAATCCAAATATTCAGTTTTCCGGAAGTAAACAAATCCATTTGGCAGACCGGCTGACAGAGGGAAACCCTAATTATGATCTGGCTCTCAGCAATATTGAGTTTGACACCCCTGTCCTAGGATTTGGAAACATATGAGAACAACTGCATATTGCCATTCAATAGTTCCCACAACATCCAGTATGGGTGATTTTCTCTCATGATGCTGCAGGATGACTGCCGATCACTTACTGTATGTGTGTCGTAGTTATCAGCATTTCATTAATGTCATTTACCACAGAGGAAAAATATACCTGGGTCCTCAGTCCTAAAGACAGGACAGGAGATGCTGGTGTGCACTTCCTCGTCTTGAAGCCCAAAGTCGAGCCAGGCGTCAAATCAGTGAATGCCACCGTCAGTATCGTAACTATCGCTGCCCAGTGCAAATACTGGGATGAAGAAGAGTCGTCTTGGAGTGAAGATGGCTGCAGGGTAAGTGTAAACACCTTTTATTCATGACTTGAAAAGCATCCCCCCGCAGCTGATTTTCCTTTCTCCTTTCAACAGGTTGGCCCACTCACGACACCTTTGCTTACTCAGTGTCTGTGTAATCACTTAACTTTCTTTGGCAGCTCTTTCTTTGTCATGCCAAACCTAGTGGACGTGTCACGTACCGCGGAGCTTTTCTCCACTTTCTTTAACAATCCTGTGGTTGTGTGTTTTGTGGGGGCCATTTTCGGCGCTTATCTTCTCGTGGTTGTATGGGCACGCAGAAAAGACATCCAGGACTCAGCTAAGGTAAACCTTGAAAAAAATAAAACATCGGTCTACACACTCTTGTTGAAATGCCAGGTTTTAGTCAAGAAAAGCCTACTAGAACAACTGAACTTTATTTAGGGTGATCAGAGGCACTTTAAATGCTGATAGGTGTGTACTGTCTTCCATTTAACATGAGTTTGAATGTAAGTAGATAATTCTGAACACAGCCACATCCTCAATTATAACGGGGGTGTGCACACTTTATCACAAACATCTCAGATGATTATGTTTCATTTGAATTCGCCTCTTGGAAAGATTTAATATTTTTTCCAAGTGTGTTGTACAGATTTTACCTCACACTAAAGTTGGAAAGCTTTTTAAAATGAGTTGTCATCTTTTTTTTTTCCTTATATCATATAACCCGGGCATTTGAAGAGCGGTGTGTGTAAACTTTTCTTATCCACTAAAGTACGAAAAAATGCACTTGACTTACTTACCCATAAACTCCAGTTTCTTCTGTAAGGAATTTTTTTAAAATCCTTTTAAAGTGTTGGATATTTATTGCTGTAAAGCACAACTTTACTTCAACCATCAAAAGTCGGGAAACGGGTGTCTAGCCAAAAGGGTATCGGTATGTTCCCACATTGTAAAAGACATTTGTTCAGTACGTTACAGAATGTTTAGCACTACCTATCCAATAACAAGACATTATACACCACAAGGTTTTTCATGAATCGGGAATCCTTCCTTATATTGTGCGTACTAACTTAAAGGTCAAGATAACAGTGCTTGAAGATAACGACCCTCTGGCAGAATACTGCTACATGCTGACAATCGGCACAGGGCATCGCCATGGTGCGTCCACCTCCTCACAGGTCAGTCACATGCTCCTGTCCTTGTTGATTGGCAATGGGAATCATTGTGTCGCAAACTATTACATCAATTTCCAGGTGACAATAACCCTGCTGGGAACAGAGGGGGAAAGTGAGCCCCACCACCTGACCGATCTCGAGAAACCTCTGTTTGAAAGGGGCGCAGAGGACGTATTTCTCTTGACCACGCACTTTTCCCTTGGAGAGCTGCAAAGCGTCAGGCTGTGGCACGACAACTCGGGCGCGCACCCTGCATGGTACAGCATTCAGATGATGGCTTCACTCTGTGCTGTTAAATGCAGAGGCACATTTGGTACCTGGGCCTTCAGCGGGGACTTATCTGACTCAAACCAGCTCTTAATACCACCACTATCTTGTCATAGTTCTGGAAACTATCAACACTATCCAAAAATGGTATATAACAATACTGCTGACAACATTTAGAGATTTGTGTGGCTAGTCAAAGCAAACAATCAGAAGATGGAAATATATTGACGTTAATGAAGGCTGGGCAACTGGTCATCTGAGGTGATTTTGCTGTCTCATCGATGAAATAAACAGTCCCATTCCTAACATAGTTTTGATTCACATGGGCCAGCACTATTGATTCTGAAGGCCCTGACAAGATTAGATTGATGGCAGAATTTTTACCTTAGAATCTGAAAAAAATTCTAGCATCCACGCACACTACTTGAAGCGGTGCAACCTTGAGAAATGCTATGAACTGAAGAGAAATGAATCCTGCCTGCAGGTATGTCAACAAAGTAATGGTGCAAGATCTGGAGAGTGGCCAGAAGTGGCACTTTCTCTGTAATTCCTGGCTTGCTGTGGACGTGGGAGAGTGCAACCTCGATAAGGTTTTCCCAGTGGCCACTGAGGAGGATCTGAAGAGATTTAGGTCGGAGCAGCTAACCGTGTGATCTTGGTGCATCATCCACAAATAAAAATGGTGACCGTCTCCATTTTATCACCCTTGATCCATTTTCCCCCTTCCAGCAATCTGTTCTTCATGAAGACAGCTAAGGATTTCCGTGATGGACACATCTGGTTCTCGGTCATCAGTCGACCACCATGCAGCACCTTCACTCGTGTGCAGCGAGTGTCCTGCTGCTTTTCTTTGTTGCTCTGCACCATGTTGACTAGCATCATGTTTTGGGGCATCCCCACGGACCCCTCAGAGCAGACCATGGACCTGGGTATGATCTGATTGAAATATATTCAAAGGTTTACATGGTTAGCGTTTCAACAGGTTTCTTGCCAATACAATCAGCTGTTGTGTATGTGGTTGCAGGTCACATCGAATTCACCTGGCAGCAGGTCATGATTGGAATTCAAAGTTCGATCATCATGTTTCCTATCAATCTCCTCATTGTGAGCATCTTCCGAAACACTCGGCCTCGAGAAAAATCTCAGAAATCGGACAAGACCAAGCAGGGGAAGACAGTTCGGGTATCTCCCTCACAGACGTCTTCCCCTCAGAAAGAACAGAAGGACATCACACCAGACACGGTGCTGAAGGTGGGCAAACATTTCCTATCAGTCAATTGTTCTATAGTCCGATTTTTTCACTTTTTAAGAGGAATGTGGCATTCAGCAATGTATTTAATGAACTGGAGAGAACTCCAGGTTAAGAGTAGAATGGCACTCGGTACATTGCAAACCTGGACCAAAGTGAACCATCCTGAACATTTCTGCCTTGCTTTTGGATTGGAAATGCCCTTGGTGATAGTGTTCCACTCCAGCTCTGTGCTGCGTATCACACAGTTGGTGTAGCCACCCACAGCATTCCTTTTATCACCGCAGCTCTATCAATTTGATCTTGTGGTTCACTGCCCTCCTAATTCTCAGTGCAACTGAATGATAGTAGTGGAAAGTGAAAATAAATGTGGCCTGAAGCTACCAAAGAGTGACTGTTACAAAGTTTGGATTTACATTTACAGAGATAAAAATCCACACATGTGAGGTAAGAACTAGTCATGAAGAAACTTTTGTTGGTCTCTCCACCAGGATATAAAAAGAATAGCCCAGTCACTTTCAAAGGCCATGAAGAGTCCCCTTCCTTATTTGGAGCTTCGACCTGGTCACCAGACTGATATCAACACCCTTTTGTCTCTGGTGGAAGACATCATCAGGCAGCAAAACCGAATTTCCTCTGACTTTTACACAGATACCGCCAAAAGAGAACGCTCCATCCTCAGTTTAGGGGCAGTCGATCTTCAAGGTAATCCATTTTATATGAAAATAATGTTGTTAGATTTTGCTTCAATGCAATTATGTTTTTGTAAAACACAAATATGATCACATCTTTGATTACAAACTTCCAATGTGTAGAAAAGAGTGTTTGGGGCAGTCCAGAGAGGACCTCAGACGGGGTTCAGAAGAAGAGCAACAACAGCAGGTACCTATACAGGCAGCTGCGTCATGTTGAGAAGAAGCTGGGTTTCCTGGGATCCTCTCGATTCCAAAACCCAGACAGCTACAACAAAGCCATGCAGCAAGTCCAGGGGATGAAGAATCTGCTCGAGTTTCACCTACCGTCACACAGCCTAGATGGAGAACAATCGGAGCGTAGTCCCAGTCCAGAAGAGAGTGCCAACAAGGGCACTGCCAAGAGATGCTGCCAAGGTGGGCTGCCATGGTGGTTTGTCTTTGTAGGTTGGATATTGGTAATAGCAACCAGCGGTGTGTCTGGATACTTTACCATGATGTATGGACTGACCTATGGGAAAGATCGTTCTATAAGCTGGCTGATCTCCATGGTGGTGTCCTTCTTTGAAAGTTTGTTCATCACACAACCTCTGAAGGTAAGGACAGTAAAATTGTGATTTATAGATGTTGTATATATATGAAAACAAGGTCTGATGTGTTTTGAAAATTAAATCCTGCCAGAAAAAGGTATGAGAAATCGAATGTATTCTCCCCTCAAAATAACTGAACATACAGCCATTTATGTCTAAACTGCTCACAACACCCCAAAGGGAAAATGTCCAAATAGGACAAAATGTCAATATGTTGTGGGACCTGTCTTTTTTATACATCCAGTATCTCATAAAAAGGGCAACACCCAGTGCTGAAAAATAATGGTGCCCCCCCCCGCCCCCCATCCACTCACACACACACACACACACATGGGCAACACCCAGTGCTGAAAAATAATGGTGCCCCCATCCACCCCCACACACACATTTTCACTCAGGAGTGTACTCACTTTTGTTGCTAGTGGTTTGAACATTAATGGCTGTGTGTTGAGGTATTTTGAGAGAACATTAAGTTTACACTATTATACGAAGCGTACACTGACTACTTCAAATTATAGCATCGTGTCATTTCTTCAGTGTCCCACAGAAAGATATAATAGATTATAGACAACAATGTGAGAAGTGTACTCACTTTCATGAGATAAGGCAATCAAATATCTGCTACAGGTTCTTGGCTTTGCTGCTTTCTTCGCTCTTGTTCTGAAGAAGGTGGATCAGGAAGAATACGGAGAGCCTCAGATTGATGAGAGCCTGAAGAATTATGGTATCTTGTTGGTGGATTCCATTTGTGTTGAACTGCTTTGTGCACACATAGAAGACTAAGCACATGATTTGAATGTGATGCTCAGATGATCCTGATGGGGTGCGAGCAGCACGGAGAGACAGCACGTGCAGTTTCTACCAGCCGCCACCTCCAACGGACATAGAGAAGATGAGGAACAACATGATTAAAGAGCAGAAAGTCTTTGCTCTCATCAGGGAGATTCTGGGTGGGAACACACACTACTTTGCTGTATAAAATATAGCTATATAAGATATAAAACATGACTGTGCAATATGCCATGATAATGTAAGGTACATTGGTGCCTTTAGATGCAAGCCGCCATTCTTCAGATTATTATTGTTTTTCTTTTTTTTGCTTTGACTTGCAAGCAAAAATTTGAGCTGAAACGTAAAAGGTATTCCATACATTGTTCATTTAAATGGAGAAAGATTATTTGAAAAATGTCTTTGAGTGACTAGCGTGGTCACGGAACAGTTTGAACTCGTATCTCAAGGCACTAATGTCTTCGCTTGTCATGCAGCCTACATGGGATTCATGTGGATGTTGCTCCTGGTGGCGTATGGACAAAGGGATCCCAATGCGTACTTCCTGACCCAGCACATTCGCCAGAGCTTTAGCAAAGGCATCTCTGACACGATGAGAATACAAGATGTGTATAACTGGGCAAACACAACTCTGCTCAGCAACTTGTTTGGAGAACACCCAGGTGATGTTAATGTGCTGTCATCCATGTGACAAAATGCAGCGGGAAATTCTTGCTATGGTTGATACACTACTCATAAATTGTTAGGGCTATTCAGCTGTAAAATTAAATAAAATAATAATGAATAAAAATACATGTCAGGGATGAATCTGAAATGCACCGTAACAGCGATTCTCAGGGTGGTACAAGTACCACTAATGGTATGCGTGCAACCTCGATTGGTATGCAAGAGAATCACTGACTTACACACTAATAGAGTACATTTACAGCATTTAAAACTCAAAATCCGATACTAAAGCACGATACTGGATAATCACTCAATCTGTGATATGGTTTTTGAATATTGTGACATCGATATTGGAATGAAGCTTGTAGCTATGTATACAGATATAGCAATTTTTTTGTACACTTCGGCCTAGAACATTATTGTATTTTAATGGTGTGTTCATTATGGTGGTACTTGGACTACCTAAATGTTTTAGTGTAAAAGTTTGGAGAACCGCCAGCGAAACCTTTGAACTCAACTTTTGAATGTGTGTCAAATTTTTCAGTCATTTAGTACTTTTTGCACAACTTGATGTTTTTCTTCAAAAAGACCAAACAAGTCAAGATCCAAGAATCGGCCAATACATTTCCAAGAATGTCCACTTCTATGCCTTTCTGTGACTCTTTCAAGTTTCTAAGTTTCTCTGTATCACTGTTGCAACCTGATGACACGCTAAACTCACTTTCTTCGGAAAACATCTTTGAAGCCTCAGAGCAGCGAGGTGCTGTCAAATCAATTGTTCAGTGTCGTCTTGGTTTGATGACATCAAAATGTGAAGAGCATGTTCAGGAGAACATTTTAAATTGGAACATTGGCGAACAGCAAGTTGTCGGGAAAAAGTACTGACACTGAATACTTTTAGTGAAGGTCAAATTAAGCTCACCTGTAAAGTTTATAGTGCCTTGCAGCTCCATTCTGAAAGTTAATCCCCTACATTTTCTAAGTCGTGTATCTCATCCTCGTCTTCCAATGGAAAAAAATTATTGTAAATGCTCTGACTAATTGTGGTTTTGTTCTTGTTGCTGGTCGCAGGTTTTATCACAGATGGTAACTCAAAGCTGGTGGGTAACGCTCGTCTCCGCCAGCTGAGGGTACAGAAAAACTCTTGCCGCGTGGCGCGACGCATGCAACATGCTGTGCATGACTGCCACTCTCTGTACTCGTGGGAGTCCGAGGACATGGGCTCCTACAGTCCAGGCTGGAGTTCCTCTGAGCCTGATAATACATCAGTGAACCTCCCCAGTCCCTGGAAGTACCAATCCCAGGGTAAATTGAGGGCCTACCCCATCTGGGGAAGCATGATCCTCTACAGGGGAGGAGGCTTTGTGGTGGATCTCGGACCAGATTTAGAAAACTCCAGCAGGTTGTTTCCAGCTATACTTTGGGTCTTGTTACCATCATGTACAATTTATAATCAACCGTGTACTCCCACCAGATCTCTCCAGTACCTCTATGAAAACCGCTGGTTGGATGCACACACCCAAGCAATCTTTGTTGAGTTCACCGTGTACAATGCCAACGTCAACCTCTTCTGTATTGTCACACTCATGCTAGAGACCACAGCTCTAGGTAAAGTATCACAGATGCGCGATGAAACAGAAACTTCAAGCCTTCGTTTTTAATGCCTGTCTGTTTAACGTCAGGGGCTTTCCAGTTCCGTAGTGAGCTCCAGAATGTTCGTCTCTACCAATCGACGGGCGGCCTGCACATTTTTGTCATGGCCTCTGAAGCCATCTACTTCCTCTTCATTCTATATTACATGTTTGTTCAGGTATGTATATTGACCATGTATCTGTAATAATTATGCATTTTTATTATGGTTGAGTGAAGTGGAAAAAAAAGGAGATCGATGCTCGACGATGTACTTCCAGCCGCTTAGTGAACAAGACAAGCAGCGAACCTCATGAATACAAAATGAATTGAAGGCATTTCAATTCACGATTTGAATTGCAAGCTTGGTCATGGAACAAATTGCACTCACAAGGGAAGGTTTCACTGTCTTTCACATGTGCCGGCAGGCAAAGCTGATGAAGCAACAGAGATGGGCTTATTTCAAGAGTAAATTGAATCTACTTGAGCTGGCGATCATACTTCTCAGTTGGAGCGCATTGTCCGTCTTTATCAAGAGGACTCTGCTGGGGAAGCGAGACATGGAGTACTACCAGAATCACAAAGACCAGTAAGTTATACACATTGTGAAACACGGGGCACACACTTATCTTCAAATGTAACAAATACGATGGCTCTCGACGTGTTTGGAAATGAGGGTTCTGTGGAAGTTTAAAGATGTTGTTTTTTTTTTTTTTTGTCACTATATTACAGAATCGTAATGGTACCACCCCAGAAAAAAAGGTCAAATATCAGGTTATAATGTGATGAATTTCACATTTTAACGTGAGAAGTGTGGTTTCCAATTTTAGCAAAACAAAATGAAGTGGACCCGGTTCAGGTCAGCAGTAGAGGTGTTTTCATCTTCTTTTTGAATCTTAAACCTTTTTAAACACTTGAGGTTGTTTTTTTTTTTAACTATCATTTCAGGGGAGCAGCGTAGTTACCGAGCAAATAACTTTGATTTGTAAGACACTAAAACGACCCTACCAGTAACCTGAAGCGGAAGTCAAACTTACCACAAGTTATCCCATAAGTTTCATGTTTTATAATGATAAGTTTCACATTTTAACATGACAATTTTCATTTTATTTTAAATAACCCTCACATTCGACCGTGATAAATTTTAAAGTGATATGTTTTAACACAATAAATTTACCGGTAATGTTAAAACATGAAACATATCGCATTAAAACATCACATTATAAGGTGACACGTTTTAAAATTATCACATTAAAATGTGAAACGTAACACTTAAAACAGAATAAATTCTCACTTTACCTCGGGTTCGGGTCACTGGCGGAGTCCTTTTTGTGTCTTACAAATCAAACATACCAGTACTAGTTATGTAACTATGCTGTCCTTCTCTAATACTGTAAAAATAAAATAAAATAAACAAGGCTGGGTGCTAAAAAAGAAAACATGCATACCCACATAGGGCTCCGCCAGTGACCTGAACTGGAAGGAATTGTTTTGTTTTGTTTTGCCAGATGCAAAAGTAAAACTTCCAGGGACATTTATCACATTATACCGTGATGTTGAACATTTTTTGGGGGTGGTGGTGGTTAATACGCTTCTGTCCAATCGAACAAAACTTTAATTATAAATAGTGAAATATTACTGCATCACTTCCAGATTTGCCAGTTTCCACGAGACAGCCAAGGCTGATGCAGTCCTGGGCTATCTGATTGCCTTCCTGGTGCTGCTGGCCACAGTCAAGCTGTGGCACCTGCTGAGACTCAACCCTAAGCTGCACATGATCACAGCAACGCTCCAGCGAGCCTGGACTGATATCTCCGGCTTCCTGGTGGTCATGACCATCATGTTTCTGGCCTACTCGATTGCTGTGAGCAGTTTCCCACACTGCAAGAGATGATGTTTTTCTTTCTCGGCTGTTGATATTCTGTGAACAAAGTCCTCCAAAAATCATGTCATAAGAATAATAATAATGCTTAGATGCTTTGAAAATATCTCCCCTAAGGGTTTTGAGAACCATTAAGACATCAGAGCTTTTTGGTAGGATAGTAAGTGATTTGATCTTGTGGTGAGGCCAGAATATAATTGTTAGTGAATTGCTCTTCTGTTGATGATGTTGGCTTTTATTTCCTGGCAGGAAAGTACAATATATTTTAGTCAGAATTCGCAGTGCTATAAGACATCATTACTTCATGCAGCATGCACAAAGTATAGGTTTACAGAGTGGCTGCAAAAATAGGTAAAGTTATTTATGAGGGAGAAATATTACACACAATCATCATTAGGTATAACTAATTTTCTGCTTGAATTGCTTTGACACAGAGGTTTTGTGATCAGTTTCTTGGTATACTGACAAATTTACACGTCATCAATAATGTGTGATTCTCTTTATTATACAGTGCCTAACCCTTGACTTGGCATGCCATTGTTATCTGACAAGAAAAGTTATCAGGAGAGCTTAGTATGACAAATACAACTGTATATTGTACCTACTTTTGCACTCCTTTCTATTAGGAGTGCACACATATTCTAATTGTAATTATTAATATATATTGGCAGCCATTATTATATGAACGTGATCATTATCACTGGTGTTTACATTTAAAATGCTGCCTGTCAGTTCAAACGCTTTCTCAACCAGCAGTCAGCCAATCACCAGGGAGAGAACACGTGGTTAAGGCTTCAAGATGCCCAAATAACAAGTGACATCACAGCATATTTGTTCAGCATCCCTTTGTAAATGTTTACATTCTTCTGCAATTTTCGTTTTTTTTTTAAATCATCATTTATTCCAAGATGAAATCAAATATTGAGTTTTATTTTGCACTGAAAACTGCGTATTTATTCAAAAGTAGTGTGGAAAATACAGATGTTGACTAATTCTGATTACAAATCATGGTCAATCTTGCAGCCCTACCCTGTATATAAAGTTTTCAATCTGTTTTTCAGTCCAATCTGATGTATGGGTGGAAGCTGTACTCCTATCGCACTCTATTTGATGCTGCTCAGACTATGGTCAGCCTGCAGCTGGGCATTTTTAACTATGATGAGGTAAACATTGGGCTCTTTCAACTTTAAAACCCTCAGATTGTGTCATATGATAGCTGCATCTTAACATCATTACACCATTGTAATGACATCGTAATAACATTATTATATTCCTTCTTGTTATCTGAAAGATTCTTAATTACAACCCAATCCTGGGTGCCTTCCTCATCGGCTCCTGTATCGTGTTTATGACGTTTGTGGTGCTCAACCTCTTCATCTCTGTCATCCTTGTGGCCTTCAGTCAAGAACAGATTCATCACAAGGTAACTGTGTATTAACCGTTTTACTTCTTTATGAAAAATTGCGAAAACAGTCAAACACAATGTCGCAAGTACATTTATCCCCAAAGTTACTTGAATGAAGTAAATGTAGCGCTGTGATTGTGATTCACTGCAGCCATCCGAGGAGGAAGAGATTGTGGACATGATGATGATGAAACTTTGCAGTCTATTTGGAATCAAATCCAAGACTAAGCAAGGTGACGATGGCCAGACTGAGAAGGCCCAACTTACGTGTGCTTCGAAGAATGAAATCGCTACAATTTCGCCAGGGCGTATTGACAAGGACGCTTATGTTCTACTTTAGTCAAATTTATTATTCTACTCAATATGCTCGAACACCCTTTGTGCTTTGCCGCCGTTGTTGCTTTTCACGGTTTGCTTCATTCTGTGCCACTGCGATGTTGACTGCATGTCAGGGCCCGTGTTAAGTGCATTATTTATGAACTAGATTCTTCAAATATGTCCAGATATTGAAGCACTGCTTTTAAGATGTCACGGCTGTATTTTTAAAGTCAAGTTTGGCAATGATTGTGACTCTCTTGTGTAGAGTAGTGTTTGCTTCAAGTGCAACATCGGTGTGACCGCTGTTATGATATTCTCTTAACTGTGAAATGTGGCACTTCTTCAAGAAAATGTATTCGCCAATAATCGAAAAGCTTAATTGTGCAACACAAAAAAAAAGCGGCTGCTTAAAATAGATTAAAACCTATACATTTAAGCAACTTAGCGTTTATTTTAACGGTATTATGCTTGAATTGTGCATTCAAATTAATGTGTCAGGATCTGGACAGATACAACATTAGTGAACGAAACTGTTGCTTCGTTCACTAACTATGACTTGTGTGTATTATTAAGAGTCCTGCCTACATTTTCACATTTGTATGTGTGCCTATTTTGCAATATTTGGTGTTACACTGCGGATCAGTAAAATGGTAAAAAACAAAACGACTATGCTTTTTGAATTATGTGTTTAACTGACTGGGTAATCTCACCACTGGTGAGACCTGTGCAGTCAAAAAGATTCACAATTATTTGCCATTGTGTAGATTGAAATGTTAACGTGTCCATATGGCAGTATCGGCATGTCCTGTAGACTATTCATGAGAAAAACTGCCGTGTTAAATATCACTAGATTTTATGATTTATATAAACAGCGTCTCTGGTGAGTACGATGTATTTTACTTTGTGTTCATGTTTTTCTCATGTTATTTGTTTTTATTAGGGCAAACGCACACGATAAATTAATCTGTATTAAAAGAAACACCATTACCGGTAAGTTTATTTTCAACAAATGTTTTGCTTTTATAAGTTAGGCTTATGCTAAAATAAAGGCAAATGAACCCTGAATTATTCTGAAAGTTTATCTACTTCAGTTAGACTCGTTAACCTACCAAACAAGATTCGCAATCTTTTAAGGGTTCATAAGAACAACTTCACAAAATCTACCCTACAAGTGTGGCATAAAAATAAATCAGTAAATCAGATTACAACATTAATGCTAACCAATCTGTGGCTTTATCATTTCCATTTTTCATGTTTCATGAAAACAATATGTAAAAATGTGGACTGCACTTCTTAAGCACTGGACTTATGTTGCATCAGAAAAGTATTCACAGTGTTTCAGTCTCATAACAAAATAGAACACATTTATTTATTCCTCAAAATTCTACAAACACCACCCCATAATGACAATTCAAATGTACCGGTATTTAAAAATAATAATCAGACATCACATATATGTACATGTCTTATGATGATGTCTAATTATTATTTTTAAGTATTCACAATCTTTGCTCTATTCTGTGTTGATGCACATTTGGCGTTCAGGCCTTCAGTCTTTTTGAAGATGATGCCACAAACTTGGCACACACAAAGTATTTTGGGGCAGTTTTGACCATTCCTCTTTGCAGCACCTCCCAAACTCCATCAGGTTGGATGGAGAGCATCCCTGCATAGCCATTTTCAGAGCTCTCCAGAGATGTTCAATCAGATTCAAGTCTGGGCTCTGGCTCGGCCACTCATTGACACTCACAGAGTTGTCCTGAAGCCACTCCTCTTTTCTCTTGTGCTCAGGGTCATTGTCCTGTTCCAAAGGTAAATCTCCCCAGTCTAAGGTCCTGGCCGCTCTGAAGCAGGTCTCCGTACATTGCTACATTCATCTTTCTCTCAATCCTGACTGGTTTCCCAGTTCCCACTGCTGAAAATCATCCCCACTTTATGATGCTGGCATCACAGTGGTTCACTGTAGGGATAGGGGGTCAGGTGATGAACGGTGCCTGGTTTCCTCCAAGCATGACGCCTGGCATTCACGCCAAAAAGTTTTTGAGTCTTTGTCTCATCAGACCAGAGAATTTTCTTTTTCATGATCTGAGAGTCCTTCGGGTGCCTTTTGGCAAATTCCTGGCAGGTTGCCATATGCCTTATATAGACAGGTGTGTGCTTTTTCAAACAATTTGCAATCATCTGAATTTACCGTAGGTGGACTCCAATGAAGTTTTTAGGCACATCTCATTAATGATCAGTGGAAGCATGATGCGCCTAAGGGCAATTTTGAGCTTTTTGGCAAAGGCTGTGAAGACATTTGTGCATGTGATTTCTTTGCTGTTGTTGGTGGGTTTTTTTAAAAATAAATTAGCAAGCATTTCCAAAACACTATTTTTACATTGTCACTAATGTGTGGAGTGTGTCGAATTTTGAGGAAAATTTTAATTATTCTGTTTTGAATGAGGCTGTCACGAAACAAAATGAGGGGAAAGTAAACTGTTGTGAATACTGTCCAGATACACTGTATTCAAACACTACAAAGATAAATATATAAAAGAAATAACTGAAGTGCAGCATATTTTTCAATAGTGCGGCATTTGTGATTTTACTACATTGCAATGTTGATTTGAATTCGATTCATTGATCATCAGCCCTAGAGTTTATGTATTATTTTGTAACATGACGACGTGATATTGGTGGTACTAATATTAGATCCCCACTGAAGGCACAGGTCCGAAATCCGCGATTCAAAACAGTCAAGGTTGAGCAACAAACCGCCCGAGATTGTGCAAGTGTACTTAATCAAGTGTCCAACGCTTGCTGGTGGTGCGATTTATTGCGTCACCTGCGTGGGCGTGGCTCTCGGTGCCACTGGCACTGGGTAGTAGTTGGTGGCTTGGGAGGGCGGACTGAGGGGGGCGGAGACGAGGCTGAAGACGAGGGTGTGAGAGACAAAGTGAGAACGAGCAGAATACAAACATTGGACACGTTTGGCGAGCTGGACGTACGTGGCCACAAGTTTGGAGGCCCCCTCCTTCCCCGTCTCACTTTTTCCTCGCACCAACCGTCGGCGGACGGAGTAGCTGTGACGTCACGCTTTTGCCCAACGTTGCCCGGCGTCCGCCCTCTGGAGGGATTGCGATGCCCTCTGACTTTGTCGCGCTTTTCAGCGGGGAGCTCGACCTCCATTTGCCGGGATCATTTTCCTCCAAAGGTAACAACTCTCGTGACGCTTAGTGTGGTGTTTATTTTTGGCTTGATACCTGAAGTGGCAAGCCCACCTCACACCGGTCAAACCAGTTTAGGGTTATTTGACTGAAAACCAAGGGAGTTCGGACACGGGTTGACCCATAAACATAAGCGTGTGATCGGCACGGAGGCCTAAACAAGCCCTCAGGTAGGTTAGCGTAAGACACTTCACAACACGTAAAGTAACACGACTGACTGGAGTAATAAGGTATTTTCCACTATTGCATTTTACAAGGACAACTACTAGTGGGTTGATGTGAACAAATTCAAATCAACTTGGCATTGTAGTAGAATGCACATTTTAAATCGCGAAGGCTGTAAGTTTGGTGAAAGACAACACAGGTCAAATTGATAACATTGCAGATTTGTTTCCATTATTGTTGAGATCAAATTTATGATTGACTGACTTATGTTGACACCACATATATCTGGTAAAATTGTTTTTGGTGGTAGTGAACGCTTTAAAAGACTGTAGGTCAAAGTGTTTAATAAGTTAATCACTTAATTGAAACAGAGAAATAATATTTTTTCATATAATTTTATCGTTTGTTTGCCTTTATTTTAGTGGAATGTGAACCTATTAGATGAATTGCAATGTTAAGATGCACTTATTTGACATCTGCTCAGGTACCACGACTGAATCTCTACTTTTGTGATGGGTCTGCAACCATACTGAGCGGCTCCTTGATTGACCCTCAAAAAACGATTTTGTTTTCATTCTATTATTGCTAAATTTTTATTATCATAATGTTGCTTTTACAAGTCCAAAATGCTGATTGACATAAAACTGGTAAAATCAAAAATATGAAAAAATACTGGGGGAAAAAAATTAATATGTGAATATGCAGCGGACAATTGTAGTTTTAAATTGTAATATCTCCAATCACCACTCAATGGAAGACATGTCTTAGTTGCACATCTTTTACTGCCTTATGCTACTGGAGAGTAGGCCAAATAATTTTTTTGCAGATTTGGAATGATACGCCAGACATACAGTCGTACCCCAATATTGTCGTAAATTTATGCTGTCCTCGAATGGTAATTTTTATGCAAGGGATCCCTTTGCAATGGAAGAACAATTACAGAATGCGGTTATTTTGTTATTTAAATCCTTTGTTTTTAGTTTCGGATAGTCGATCTATGATACATGCGTTGAAAAATGTATTATAATAAAAGACAATTTAAGAGCACATGTTTTATCCACATTTAAAATAGAATTTTTGTCATACACCTCATTAGGAAGTGCGAGGTCCGGTCTGGCCGCCCAGTATCACTGGTGAAAAATTGTGGCCTCCCCCAGCATTTGAGCTAACCATCCTTGCTGTATTTGTTTACAAGTAGAATGTTATAATGTTACAAGTTGTACTTTCAGCACACAGCTGTCAACTCTGCTAGTAACATGCAGTTGTCCTACAAATAATGCTTAAAGTACATGTACAATACTATGCAAAGTAATGTGTTTTTTGTCCTCACTAATAAAATTAAGTCAGCACACAAGTAGGAACAACTTGGGCACGGTAGTAGAGCAATTATATTTTACAAGCAACTTTTTCCTATCTCTACTTCCTTCTGCTGCATGATATTTCTGCACATTAGTAGGGAAACTTTGGTAAACTAGGAGGACACCTGCATCTTACTAGTGAGGCAAAACAGTGCACTAGAAGTGAAGTGCTACTAAAAAAGTGCTAAATGTTAACTCGTTGAATCACAAATTGGACAAGTAGCTAACAGTTGTCAATTTGTGAACAGATATGCCTCACTGGAAGTAATGAGTAGTTGTCCTATAAGATGAAAACTGTTTGCTACTAATACTACTAATGATAAAGTTGGACTAGTTAATCTAGCACTTGAAGCCAGACACACTCAAAGTCACAGATATTACAGTATGGAATATGATGAAGGTGACCCCAAGTGGACAACAATAATACCAGCCCCTCACATGGAACTTTAGTTGTTTAATAATGCAAGATAATTTTTATCAGATTTAAATGATAGGCTATTCGGTAGGATAATCGATTCTAAAAATATTCAAAATTGCTTCAGCATCGCTTCCTAGTAACATCTTTTTTATCCCCACTACCATGGTTAAAATGGTTAAAATAGTGTGTGTGTGTGTGTGTATATATATATATATATATATATATATAGAGAGAGAGAGAGAGAGAGAGAGAGAGCGAGAGAGAGAGAGTTGTTTTGTATGAGTTGTATTCATTTTATTTCACAGGTCACAAAAAGTAATTTGTAATCAAGTAAACTGCAATTTCCAAATAACTGTTGGACTTTCCTTCTTTCTTATAG